AAAAAAAAAAAAAAAAAAAAAAAAAAAAAAAAAAAAAAAAAAAAAAAAAAAAAAAAAAAAAAAAAAAAAAAAAAAAAAAAAAAAAAAAAAAAAAAAAAAAAAAAAAAAAAAAAAAAGGGAAGAAAACAAAACAAAAAAAAAAGTCTCCTAACATTTTCCCAAAGGTTTCACTCTCCTTGTTCACACACACTCTCCAAATGACAGCTAGCAAATTCAACTCTGCAAAGAGAAAACAGAGCCACGTCACTCGAGAGGAGAGGGAACAAGGCTGGCAGTGATGGGGATGGAGCTCTGTGAGCCTGCAGAGGCCCCACTCACCTATGTCAACTTCTTGGCTTTGTTGTAGAGCGAATCCACTACTTTGCTCATGTTCTGAATCGTCTCGAGGGCGGCCTCGTAAGTTTTGTCTACGGGGGGTTCGTCGAAGATGATCAGGACACCCTCGCCCTGGTCGAGGATTCCTGTGGGAACAAGCTGCCTTTAGCACTGGGATGCTCCATGGGACACATCTTCCAGCAGTAGGAATTCAGGGATCTACCCCAGAATCATCCAGGGGCTGGGAAGGGCTCGTGTGTTGTGCTGGACTGGTTGGTTTTGGTCAGGACAGCATCAGCATTCCCAGGAAAAATGTACATCTCATTCCCTACAAGCTCCCTGCCTCCTCGAGGCTATGTGCCCAGCTGGATGGACCAGCACAGCACTGGAGCAAGGCTGAGAAAGAGCTGGTTTATAATGGGACTGTTCCCAGGTGCCAGGTGGGCTCTGTCCTTCTGGAACGTTCTGTGCTCAGGGTGCTGCCTCCAGCCATTCCCCTCCCTCAGCCAGATCCAGGGGCCTTGCTGATTGACACAGGGACAACACAACCAGAGCAGAGCTGCTTCCCTGAGGGATCACCAGGGCAGCACCTCTGCTGTGGGCCCAGCCAGCCCAGAGCACCTCCTGTGCCATGGGAGTGCCCCTTCCAACAGAACCCGCTGGATACAAACCAGCTGGGAAAGGTGCCCACATCCCAGCCAGTTCCACGGGGGAAGAGCCCACCTGGGGGGTCCCACACCCTCCTTGGATGCTCTCACAGCTCAGAAGAACCCAGCAGTGTTCCTGATCTGTGAAAAACCAATCCTTGGGCTTAAAGAAGGTGGATGGAGCAGCAGGAAGAGCCTCCCTGACTGTCACCTGAGCTGAGCAGGTGGGCTGAGCATCCCCAGGGTTCAGAGGAGTCTCCAAGCACAGCTCTGTACACACAGGCACTAAGGCACTCAGGACTGAGGGATACAGAGACTCACCATGAAACTTCTTGTCCAGGATCATCTGTGACAGTTTCCTTTCTACCTCAGCCTGAAATTGAAGCAGAGAAATCGAAAGTCTCCCAAAAGTGCTTAAAAAAGTGTGAATTTTACTGCTCCACACTCAGCCCTGGTGGGACATGAGCACTGCTTAAGAGCAGCTATTTCCTCACTGAACATCAGGACAGGCTTTAGATGCCTCAGGAAATTAAGGAGCAGCTTTAAATGAGGAGAAAACCCAGGACTGTCCTGCCTCCTTGTTGCACAGATGATGCTGAACCTGTCACTTCAGACTGGTTTGATTCCTGGGGGGATCTGGAACATTCTAGCTCAGTTCAGCAAGGATCAGGTCAAGAGTTGGCCAAGCTTTGTTGAATCCACCCAGCACCAGGCAGGCCCACAGGAGGCAGCTCCTCTCCAGCTCCTCGGGCAGAGGGGACACAGCTGCCGTTGAACAACCGCAGAGCAGCTTTTACTCCAAATATTAAGGATGTGTTAAACACCAAGGGCTAGTCTAGGAAAAAAAAAAAAAACTTGTGTGCCAGGGGAGGTTTGGGCTGGATATTAAGAAAAATTCCTTCCTGGAAAGGGTTGTCCAGCCCTGGGCAGTGGGGGAGTCCCCATCCCTGGAGGGGTTTAAAAGCCACATGGATGGGTCAGGGGTGGCCTTGGCAGTGCTGGGGGAACACTTGGACTCGATGATCTGAGAGGCTTTCCCAACCTCAGTGATTCCTGTGACTCTGTGACCACAAAGCTGAGCTCAGCTCACGTCCAAAGCTCTGCCCTTCCTGCCAGGACACGACAGCAGCACTCTGGGATGCCACTTCCTGCGATTACAGTGGATTTTCCTAAAACTTAATCTGGCTGGGATGATCTGCAAAGCAGTTACTGCAACAGTCAGTGTGACAGTCACAGCCCTGATGACACTGCAGGGTGATTAGCTGGATGCTGGATCTTAAAGGTCTAAGAAAGGTTCCCCTGGGCACGCCATGGGATTAAACCCAGGGCAGCAGGGAAGACTGAGCCAGTCAGGACAGGAGCAGAGGAAAATCTGTCTCCAACAGAAAGCAAGTGCCAACAGAGGGAGCAAAACCCATGTGAGGTAAAGGGATGTTACAGCAAAGTCTGGGGACAGGAAGACTTGATGCCTCCCAGGAACTGCCCATGGCAAAGCTGAATTCCCAAGGTGGTGTTTGCCTGGGAATGTTGTGGAGCTCATCTGTCACATTCACGTTTAGCTCCCAGTGGCAAATGCCATTTAACCCCAACTCCTCTGCCCTTCTGAGGTGTGCCACTGATTTCTAGGGAGGTTCTTACCTTTGAGAGTTTGATGAGGCTGGATATGTGTTCAATCTATAAGAGAGACCAACAGAGTCAGGTAAATCTTTAGCTGCACTTTGGACACAGAACACGGAGGTTTGGGGCTCTCTGGAACAGCTCAAGGGCCTGGAAATGCTCTGGGTTAAAAAGATGCAGGACATCCTCCCTGCAGCTTCAGGTCCTTGGTGTCTAATTTAAACTGAAGGTGGACTGGACACCTAAAGCCACTTCACTCTGAAACACGAAATATTTCGTCTCCAAGACCAGGGCAGCTTTGCCCACACCCTGTCAGAGCTCATCAAAGAAGAACGCTGTTACCTTCAGGGTCTAAAGCCAGTCACCTTTCAGTGAGCATAAGAAAAACAGGTGGAAAGGCCAATGTCTCTGGAAAGTGGTTTTCCAAAGGTCTCAGCCCTCTCTTGATGGTTTTTTTCAGCTGAGCACGATGAACCCTGAGCTCTGGATTGCTAAGCAGATCTGAGTGAGGAGTATTCCATGAGGGAACAAGTTCCTTACCCACCAGCAGCAGGGGACAAGAGGCTGGATGTGCTGCTGCAAACATTTACCTGTACTCTGGAGAAGGGTTCAATGACTCTGATCAGGTTCTGTTCCAATAAATTATCATAGAGCTTGGCCAAGTGAGTGTTTATGATGGGGTCGTCCCTGAGCTCCACCTTATAGTCTGTCAGGGCCTGTGGAAGAAACAGCTCAGGTAGAACAGGTTCTCTTAGGATGAAATCCCCTCCCCTCCCTGCCCAGCACAGTTATCATGGCTATTCCAATCCCAAATTTAGCTAAAAGCCAGAAGGTCATGACAGCCCAGCCAGCCTTTCAAGCATCTTTCATCCTCCCAATAAGCCCAAATCTCTGCTTCACCCACAGCAGGACTGGCTCCTGACATGGGAATCCTCTGTGGCATTCTTGCTGGGGCCAGGAAAAATTTTAGGAACATGCAAAACTGCTTCTGAGTTGGCTCTCCAGATATAAAAAGGAAAAAAAAAAAAAAAAACAGGTTCAAACAAGTTTACCCCCCACGCTGAGAACACCAAACCGGTTGATTATTGAGGGGTATTTGCTCGGTGCACTGTTGTTTTCTATCAATGTTTCCATGGTTTCCTGCTGGGGGATGTAGCAGCTCCTACAGCTTTCCAAACCTGGTATATCTGAGTGGTTTTTGCCCAGCCAGGCCTCATTTGTTGTCTCACCTTTTCAAAATCTGCCAGCGACCGGTTCTTGCTGGCCTGGGCCACACATTTTAGTGCTTCTGTCTGTGGGGAAAGAAAACCAAAAGAGGGGTTTTTGTTTATTGTTTTTTTGTTTTTTTTTTTTCTGGAATCTCCTCTCCCTGAGATTATGCAAACTGTGCAGTATCCTGGGAACGTGCTCAAGCAGCAAACCAGGAATGTTCCTGGTGCTACAGAGCCCTGTGAGTGTCACTGCCACAAGGCAGAGCAGCTGCTGAGGGGGGAACGTGTCCAGCAGCTGCAGGACACGGGGTGGAACCAGCCCCACAAAGCAGCCCAAGCTCTGCAGGTCTGACATCAGCAGCTGCAGGCTGGGAGCAAGTTTGACACTGTTTCTTTAAGAAAAGTGCCCTGTTAAGCACTTGCTAAATGAAGGTGGCCATTTCCAGCCCTCAGGCTGAGCTTCTCCCCTTCAGCAGGGCCACAACTCCTCTGCTGAGTGACAGGGGCCCTGCAGCAGCCCCAGGGGTGCCCCACCAGGGACAGCATCTTCCTGCCCACCCATTAATTGCTGAAGCAAAGCAAGAGCCTCAGCCCCAATCTGATTTCCCCCAAAGCAGAGCAGTGCCCAGGACGTGGCTCTGGTGCACAAGGCCCAGGCTTCTGCTGCTCCCTTTCTTTTTGGGGATTGTCCTGTGCAGAGCCAGGAGCTGGACTTGATGATCCTTGTGAGTCCTTTCCAACTCAGGATATTCCCCAATTCCCACTGAACTGTCCCCGGGGTCCCCACGCTGTTTAATTTAGGAGCAGCACTCCCAGCCTGGCACATTCACATGTCAGAATGAACAGGATTTAACAACTCCCTTCCCCCTCACAGCCCCCCAGGACTCAACCTGCTGGGCTGGGACACGAGGCCCTTCATGCCATGGGGCAGTTTGTAGTTCAGGAAGGGAGGAGAAAAACAGGGGAAAATGAAGTGAACCACCCCCCAGATTCTCAGGTTGTGAAAATCACTGGAAATCCCTTGAAGACAACTGGTAATGATTCTTGGTAATTTCATCAGTTCTGGATTTCACTCAGGAGTGGTCTTTTGGTACGAAAGGACCAAAGTGTTTGACAAAAAGAATAACCCAGCATTCTGAGAGATAAGAGGGAGATAGGAAGGATTAAGTTTCTATACCTGTCTTCCTGCATACCGCAGAGCAAGCTTCCCACTCACTAATGCTTGCACATCTTCTGGGCTACAGAGGGGAGGGAAGGCAACAGAGCATTTATTCAGCAACACAGTCAGCTTAAACCTCAGAGCACCTCACAAAGTCCCAGCTGATAGCAAATCACTACAATTCAAATAACACTGTCTGAGAAGCAGTGATTAGGTGATAAAGCAGACACTGCTCGAGTTCCCTCATTAGCTCAGAGCCTTTAGAAACAAAAAGCCTTTCCCCCTGGAAGTGCAGGGATGTTCTTTCCCAGGCACCCTTTGCCACGTACCTGTTCAGCATGATTTTGCACAGCAACATGTACTTCAGAGCAGTGATGGCTTTTGGGTTGTCAATTGAATCATTTCCCTCAAATGCCTCGTAGAAATATGAATAGGCTGTTTTCCAGTCCTTCTCTTCTGCTGCATGGATAATACCTGTGGGAGGGACAAGCCAGAGGACATCACTGGAAGAGGACAGAGCAATCTGGTTGCTCAGTGAAGGGAATCCTGTGCCCCCTTTCCCTCATCTCTATCAGAACAACATCCCTGCCCTCTCTCCTATGAGGACATTTTAAAAAAGACAAGTTTGGGGCACTTCAGGTAAATTGGGTCAGGAATGTGTAATGGGTCAGGAACACAGTGTAATGCTGCATGTCCCCCTCTGGGGAGGGGACAGACCATCCACCACTTGAGGGAGGGGTTATCAAAAATGGGCTGGAAATACAAATGTCAGGAGCAATGTCATTATAACTGGGGAGACGGGGGGGCATCTTGGGGTCCCACCGAGCATCATTTTCCATTATTCCCTCCAGGATGAGTCACTGATGCGTCAGGAGGAGTCCTGGATGTCCCCTTTGTCCTGGAGGCCTCACCTGACTGCATGTCCAGCGCTGCCTGCAGCTTGGGGGGACAGTAGATGGCGTTGGCCGTGGTCCGTGCCGAGGTTAAG